TTGTGAATAAAGTTCTGTTTAGTTGACTTCTGTTACAGGATCACTTACTTACATTGTGCACAATGAGCACTTTTCCTATATACAGCTGCATTTAACTATATTCAATGGCTCATAAATAATGTGTGAACAACAAGCAGAAAATTATTTCATGATTTGCTTTTTCTCACCTTGTGCAGGCTTCTCTTTTGTATCATCATCCTGTAACACAAACAGGCACCAATGTGACGTCACGTCAGGATAAATAAACGATCACCACTGATTAAAGTCAGACATGAATTATCAACTCACCATTTTCAGCATCTGTAGGATGTCTGGGTGCTTCTGGACATACGAATCCACCATTTGTTCAACACTGAAGTGCACGTCCTGGTTAACGTAGACGTACGCCATGCTGCACTGTCGTTGATCATCCGGCGTGGCTCTCAGGTACGAGTGGCAGCGCTCCAGCACCATGTGGTATTGACCGTACACGTCTGCCTCCGCGTTTACGCAGGGAACAGTTCCCAACACCCTCAGCAAGCTCTGCACGTTCGGGTAAAATCCGATATCTGGAATCTTGAGGGTAGCAAAGACCGTGGTCGGAAGAATCCTGCGCTTGCTCGCGTGCCTCCACTTCACTTCCCAGCAGCCGAGCTCTTCGTAGAACGTGTCGGGCCGCGCGAGGTTGTTCAAGTTGGCGTCTGCTACTTTATCCCTGCGGATGCTGAAATTATGGTCGGCCATGTAAGACGGCACCAACGACAGCCATCTGAGAATCCTCACCATCTCTGTGCTGAACACTCTCTTCACCTCGGCGACGAGGTACTGCAAGATGGGCCGGCTCAGAGTTTCTCTGTAAAAGTCTTCCAGCGGCGTCTCGGTGGCGTCCCCTTGAGCCATCTCCGGTTTGCTGACCTCCACTCCCAGCTTCTTCGCCCGACCGACTGCGTCTGAAAACCATTTCCTGTGGAATATTGCAAGCTCTTGTTGGTATTTGCTTACCAACTTTAAGGCATTGGAAATTGTGTACTGCAAAGTACTGCTGATGCTAATTATTCCCCTGAGACTTGAGTTGAGTATGCTCACACAGCAGAGGGTGTTCTTCAGAACAACGAGCGTCATAATGAAATTGAAATTCTTCAAAATGGGCTTGAGCTTGGCCATCTGCTCAGCAGTGTCTTCATCTACCTTTGAAATGATCTCGTTGATGCAGTTCAGGAATGGCTCAAGAATATCTAGCATGGTCTGGAAGGCGTCAGTGCCGTATTCCCAGTTCCCACTAATAGCTGCCTTGATCCTGTCCACTTCCCCTTTTACGTGCCCGTATGTCATCTGGATCTTTCCCTCCAGTCGCTTGCACAGCTCTGGCGTTCTCCTGAGTAACGAGGCCACTTCCTCTACAGTGTCTGCAACCGTCTGGATGGAGGGCACGGGCATGCAGCGAATGATCCATATGTTGAAAGCGTACGGGTCGCTTGGCGACAGCACGACTTGCGGAAACTCCTGCAGAATTCGGCAAGTGAGATCTCGCATTTTCTGACACATGCTACCTGTAACGAGATAAGTGAGTCCTCTGCAGTGCTCCATCCTGAGCCCCCACTTGTTTCGCAGCTCAGACAGGAGCATGTAAAACAGATTCTCGCCGTCCATGTCGCACGGCAAGAACCCGACGAGGTGCTTTTGAGGAAACCCAGCTACTGTGACGGACCTGATGAACACCGGGATCTGCTCCTTTCCTTCGATCTTGGTCACATCCTGAAGCAGAATGGAGAAGAACCGTGCCAGCCGGAGGCTGTTCTGGATCTCCTCTCGCATCAGACCTTCGCTGAACTGCAGGATCTCTTTCTTGTCAATCTTTTCCAGACAGACCTGACTGAGCGCCCGCTGACCCCTCGCGCCTCCGATCGGCTCGTCGGCATTGATGTTTGCACCGTTGATGCTGAATCCCGTCAGTGCCAGGATTTCCTTAAAGTAGACTTTCAGAGTCTCTTTTGCTTTGGAGGTGGCTGCATCCTCTTGGGTTTGGTTTTCTTTTTGCAGTTCACTTTCTGCGCTGTTCTCTCCGCATCCGCTCTCTTCTTTCGTCTCCTCCGTTACTTCTGCGGCTGTGTTTTCTTAAGCATGAGAAGACACTAATTCAGTCAGTGTTTACAACACGAGCACATTCGCGAAAATACAGGAAACCTTGAGGAAATGTAAAAAAAGGAATCGAAGCAGTTACTGTACCTTTTGTCTTTTTCACAGCAGTATCATCCTCTTCTGACTAGTTTGGTGAAATGGATAATTAAACATTTTTAGGATGTTAATGTTTGATTTAAAAAACATTCCAACAAGAGCATTTCAAAGACCTGGACAGACACTTACAGGATCTCTGGCTCGCTTCCTGCTGTAGGTCGACTGATTGTTCGCAGGCCTTGCGACGTCAAATACTGTTGGAACAGCATCTTCCTTTAACACACAACTGGATGAACTCTGGATGAACAAACATGCACACAAACAAAAATATGAAGCAGACACACTGATGCATTTCTCTAATATCAAAATGTCAATACAGGAGATTATATATGATCTGACATTTGTAAACAAAGCAGATTTTTGCACTTATAGTTTGAGTGGTGTTGATAAAACTGTGCAGAATCTTTTATAGTTTTATTAAGTTGCATGATGCTGATTGCACAGATGTGCTTGCAAAAAAGCACTTGTGTTTGACATCAATAAGCTGCACAAACATGGGCATTTTTAATCTCCCGTTGTGTGATATCAGGCTGCCCACGTGTACCTAATGAACTGGAATTCTCTACTAGCACCTACTCGCCCCACACTGAGCGTCACCTCAGTGTGGGTGGGGCTGAAAGCCCTGTGACATCATTTGCGTGCTACATCCTTACAATCCCTCTGGATTCTGTCGGTGGCACAAAAACCTCGGCTGTGTAGGTACTAAAACAGTACCCGGTACCAGGTTCTACCGCCTAATGGAAAAGTCTAAAAACCGAGTCGAGCAGGTGTTACTGCAAAACAGCCTTTTGTTTAGTTAGTTGATCTTAACTGAGAGCAATGAGCAGCAGACCCGCTTCTCACCTGGTGAGAGATCATAGACGGCTCAAAGTGCTTTGCACAAAGTCTGTAGAGCTTATGCAGCTGTTCAGGAGGTTCTGAAGCCAAATCGGGACGACGACAGTTCTCCAACCATTGGTTGCAGCTGCAAAACACAAGAGGACAAAGGTGTCAGTTGTTGGAGGCACAAACAAATACAGAGTAAAACGGACACCAGCGAAACACCGAACATAAACAAAAAAACCCCAAACATCATTTGGGTTCTCAAAGCATTGAAATGTCTTAAGATGTACTTAATTATGCGCTGTATCCAAACACGGCCGCCACCCACCCAACTCCCCTGATGAACTTCAGTCACAGTGAGCATAATGAACAGTTTGTCACAGCGCCCAAACTCGTCCCTCTCTCTCTCTCTCACACATATTTGGAAAGCTCTCTTAAGGGGCACAATGAGGTTCATGATTTTATGCATTGTGGTTTAACTGAAGCCATTTCTGGAAGCAGTGGCGCGCACACACACACACACACGTCGCATAGATTAATGAATTACTTAACGCAGGAACAGCAGCTGCTGAAGAGCATTTGGAGTGTAGTGTTTGGGCGCTGTTAGCGTGCTATGCTCAGGCTCACCTAGCTGCTAGGTGATCACAAATAAACTGGAGTCCACGTTGGGAGATGTGGCACAGCTCAGATCACCTGGCTGAAGCAGCCCCTGTTTACTTTCACTTTGCTGTTCACTGTGAAGCAGAACTATGACTGAACTGCTTGTGTTTTTATGGACACTGAAACTTACAGCCAATGCAGTTTTATTCTTTATTTCCACAGAGTGCATAATTGCACTTCGCCTCACTGGTGGCACTACTGGAACAAATTAAATGAATTAAGAGTGAATGACTGCCGTGACTGTAGCTTTGGCTGATTCACATGAGCTCGTTTCCCTCTGACACAGCCTTATTATTATTCATCTCTACTAAATTGATTTAGTAGAGCATTATTAGCTCTTTTAACATCAGATGGACGCTTATTTACACTTAAGCCAAAGCTGGAGGCAAACTCCTTTAAATATGTCTTAGACCTCATGATCTAGTAGGCAGTATTTCCTCTGGCATGGAGGACTTCCTGTCCACAGACACTGTACCTTGATTCAGTCAGCTAGCGTGCATCTGTCACTCAGTCACAGTCCTTATTAATTCCCGAATTTATTTGTAAGTCGGTCAACAGAGCCGGTTATGATTCACGACAACAAAAAGCTAAAAGGACGGACGAGATAACTATTAATTCACAGGGCGATCACATGGACACTGCTTAAATATTGTAATATTTATACGCTACACAATGAGCTGCGATGGAAAATTACTATGGAACTGCGCAGCTTTGAGCAACAACCAAAACATCACCAAAAGCATTATTAATTACAGGTGTTTTAATTGTGCTAAGCTAACGCGAGTCATTCTCACATTGCCGCACCGCTGGGATGGTAAGTGCTGTGCACTGATGGTGATTTAAATAGAGCACAAAAAAAAGTTTTTAACTAAGGCTTCTCAGCGTGTGTGAAATGACTGAACTTAAAGGAAATCCCCAAAAGGCCGTTTTTCACGTCGGTGTCCGTTTCTGAGGCTGAACGAGTGACCGGAGTCTTATTTCACACGGACTTTTCTTTCAGGAGTAACGTTAAGTCTGCGCCATTTTCCACCGAGTTGTGTCACTATTAGCCAACATGATGTTAGGCTAACGCCAATGCTAACAGCCTGTAGCCAACACATTTATTCTGCATGCTCAGCGGCTCGTTTCTCTAGCTGCATCTCAATGAAATAAGCATAAGTCTTACCGCTCCGGATCCAATGGAAAGCTAAAAAGTGGAGTGGTCTGTTCGGATCCCCGCTGCTGGTAATCACAGTTCGCTGCGGCGCAGCAGTCAGTCATTTTGGATTGCAATGAAGCTAGCAAGCAAGTTAGCTAGCTTAGCTGGCGGTTGCAAGCTGGCAAGCCTACTGTGAGCAAACCTGTAGGACAGTCTACAGAGTCATGCCTTGGGCAAAACCTGCAACCGACACAGTTGACTTTCACTGTTATTCTCGCTTATTGCCTCTTTACCAGACTAAGAACCTACTAATTCCATGCTTTCAAAAGTTGATGCTGCGTGCTGAGCCAAAGTCGCCAAAAGCGTGTTATCCCATCAACCAGGAACTAAGTGCTGCAATAATAATATTCACCAGCAGAGGGCAGAATACCATGACCAAAGAGTATTATTGTCAAGATGACTTACTCCCTATTCTGATGTAGCCTGAAAATGCGCGCAGGAATTAAATAAAAATAAGGTTTGTTTTATTGGGATATACAAATAAACGAGGTTTACATTCACAACTTTTGGCATGGCGTCGTTAAAATCCTCCGTATGCATCAGCTACTGGTACAGTTCAATAAAATGTCATTACACAAACATTAAGCACAGGTGTCGTACTTTTCTTGTTCTAACTGAACACTCTTTGAATTTGACTTGGCGCTTCCTTTTCTTTGAGCACATTTGACTGTTTCTTTCATTTCAGTGATTTACCTCCTGTCTGTGAAACACCAGACAATTCATTAAAAAAAATGTGGAAATAAATCATTTATGAATAGTTTTCCAAAATAAGAATTAATACAAATTTGACATATCTAATAATTTACATTTTTAATTACTCAATTGTTTCTGTGCTGCATCATGAATTAATTCTATCCTTCGACCTTAGCCATCAAAGTAATCAGCCTTTGAATTGGCCGGGAGTTGTTTCTTTTCAATCTGCGTTTGTCAGTTTAAAGTGCAGAGTTTGTCCTTGCATGCTCGCTAGTTCCTCTTTGGCAAGTACACTCAAGAGTCCAGACTTCTGAGGACACAGCTCAGTTAGACAGCAGCAGATTTGATGACTATGGCTCACGTTAAGTATACTTTACTGGCTTTTTACCCTTATAAGTAATATTTACAATGAACATAGCATGTAATTGACCTAATTGTCTTCTTTTAGGTTATATATACAATTCTATAGGCACTCCAGCAAGTTGTTTGGCTATAAAAGAGTCACTGATGTTAAATTATTATGGAGTGAACACTGGGTTTATTTAGAACAGTGGTTCTTAACCTTGTTGGAGGTACCGAACCCCACCAGTTTCATATGCGAATTCACTGAACCCCTCTTTAGTGAAAAATAAAATGTGATTTTTTTCCAATTCAAGACGTAGATATGTTTTTTTACTGGTGCACAAAAAGAGCCGTGCATGTCACGGCGGAGGCTCTGCCCAAACCCCTGGGACCGACTCACCGAACCCCTAGGGTTCGATCGAACCCAGGTTAAGAACCACTGATTTAGAAGAAGGCGATAAAGAACTATGCCAAAATTCTTCTTCTGCTGATTTAAATGTCCACAGTAAAAGGGGATATGTTCAAGCAAGAAATCACTCGTCGGAATAATTTTATGGCTTTATTTTATTTTTTTTCAACAAAGAAAATGCATCCAAATTATGGAAACATGTGTAAGAAAACAAAAACAAAACCTAAACAGAGTTCAGGGCTGCACTCAACGTTCACCAAGCAGCCACGCTGCAGCAGAGGAGGCCGTTTTCCTGTAAATGGAGCGCCGTCATCGGCAAAACAAGATGGTGAACTTGTCATTTTTTCTTCAGTTTCTGGAGCCAGCACAGCGACGCTTGTATGTGTTAGGAAGTATCTAACACCTGTCTCTGCTCCGCTGGGCGTGATTCCCGACTACGACTCCTGCTGCACCTCAGGGTATGTCTTCATGTAGGTATCAGCCAATGAATCCAGATCAAACTTAACATCATAGTTAATGTTCAAAAGAGCAAGGCTTTTGGACTTAAATCTGTCAGGCGTGTTCTCCATGTACATTGTGAAGCGCTTGTATGCCACGTTGCAGTTGTCCTCTAAAGCCAAAGCAGGCAGGACACCGATCAGTCTGAAGACCGCCAGCATGTTTGGGAAGAACTTGACATCAGCCAGCTGCAGTGTTTCATGGAGGCTGGAGGGAAAAGTCTCACCTTTCCCCTTTTTGTTCCATTTAACCCACCAACAGTGCAACTCTGCAGAAAGGGTTCCTGCATTTGGGATGTCATTATTAAATGCCTGCACGTTCACCTCTTCGGGCTCTGTGGATTTGTGCTGCTCTATGACAGCAGGGATCAGCGACAGACACCTGAGAAGCTTCAGGTGGTCTTCACAGAAGAGCCGATTCATTTCTCGGATGGTGTGATTCACTACAGGCACAGACAGGTGTTCCTTGTAGTAACTCTCTGGCCGCATGGATCCACATTCTGCCTGATGCTTCCTCAAGAACGACCGAGGAAGCTTCGCTGAAATTTCCATGGTTGCAGCTATGGTAAGAGCCTCATCGTTCCAGAATTCGTGATACACGTCGATGTTGTCAGACACCTCTTTCAGAGAATGCAACACAGCTTTTAAACTGACTGCAGCTGAATGGGTTTCTGTTGCGTTCCCTTGTATATTTTTCCCAAAGGCTTGGGTGAGCGTCATCACGTTTTTCAGAACAACCAACGCCATCACGAACTCAAAGTCGGTCAGTGCTTTTGAAATCTCTAAAGCGTTTTGCGAGACTTGATCACTCCATTTCATATCTTCATTGTCATGCACGCTGTCTATACAGAGTAGCAGCGCCTCCAGGATATCCACTGCCACTTCAAACGCATCATTTCTTCCGGTCCATCCAGTGCGACAGATCTCTTTCAGGTCGTTGGCTTTCTCCTCGTTGTCAGGGTAGAAAATCGAAATTGCGTTCTCGAGCTCCAGCTGCAGTAACGCTGACTGACCGAAAAAAGACTCAATCTTCTTAAAGGTAAACATGACAAGCTGAACCCCCGACAAAGCCATCCCACTGGCCAGCGACATGTTCAAGGACTGACCAGAGCTCAGTGTGAGCACAGCCCTCGGATGCATCTCCATTAGTTTGGCAGCCAATATTTTTATTTGATTAAAATGCGTCCCTGAGCAGGAGTGAGCTTGTCCTCTACACCTTTCCATATCTAACCCCCATTTGTCAGTCATTTCAGACAGCAGTTTCTCTGCAAGGATATCTCTATCTCCTTCGAAGCTCAAGAATCCGACAAACCTTTCCCTCTGAAAGTTAGACTCGTCCACGTAGCGAACAAAGACAGGGAGCTGCCATTCTCCCGAGATCTTCACTGGATCACCAGTGAGTAACGAGAAAAAACTGCTTTGTTTAATTTCCTCCACAAGCTTACTGCGGACGAACTTCTCACACACCTCAATCAGCTGATTCAGCTGTTCGGTGGAGCAGCACTCCTTGTTGTCATCGTACCTCTTCTTTAGGACTTCATCGCCACACATGATGCGATTATCTAGCAATGCCTGAAAGCTGCTGGACCCAAGGCCTTGGTCCTTATTATTAGCAGGCCCCATAGGAGGAATGCTTTGCTCTCCCAGCAGGAGAAGGACTTCAAATAATGACTTCAGATACTCTTTGTATTCTTCTTCCTCTGATAACGTCGGGATGTCTTCCTTAGCTGTTGCTGCTTGAGAGTTTTTCATTTCTGAAAAAGAAAAGGAAACGCTTGAAGGAAAACTCAATAACTCCTCTTGTAACAAATGAGCCTGTGGGATGTTTATACTTCCATTTTTCATTAATAAATATCTGTGTGCGTGTTGATGTTTCTACTTACTCTTCCTTCCCTTACTTTCCATTTCATTGTCTTTGGTCTACCAAAAAAGATATAAAAATGGAGTTAATAAATACCACTGAGATACAATCATAATATACACATGTGGTCAGAAGTTTACAAACATGCATGATTGTTATGGTGATTTTAGGCTTTTAATAATTCCTTTAAAGTGTCCTTTTCCTAAGACGAATAAGAGAGTAATTCATTACAGCATACATCTGTAATGAATTCCGAAAATACAAGAATTTGGTGCAGAACTTTGAATTTCTTTTGAATTTTCTTTAATTCACACAGGTTTGAAATTGGGCATATTTCATTAAATAGCAAGTTTCACCTTGACCACATGCCTTTGGTAGTCATTAACAAGCCTCTAGGATAGTTCTGGTAGAATATTTGATCACTCTTGGCAGAACTGGTTGGTTTCCTGGCATGGAGCTGTCTTTTACTACTATAGTCCACAAATATGCAGGAGGGTTCAGTTCGGGGCTTTGGGCCTTGCTTTTATCCACAAAGGAAGACATTTTCATGTGTGTCAGGAATCACTGTGCTGTTGATCATACTCTGTTTAGCCACACCACAGTGCAATATTATAAATGGCCTGTATTTGTATAGCGCCTTACTAGTCCCTAAGGACCCCAAAGCACTTTACACATCCAGTCATCCACACATTCACACACTGGTGATGAAGCTACATTGTAGCCATGGCCACCCTGGGCGCACTGACAGAGGCGAGGCTGCCGGACACTGGCGCCACCGGGCCCTCTGACCACCACCAGTAGGCAACGGGTGAAGTGTCTTGCCCAAGGACACAACGACCAAGACTGTTCAAGCTGGGGCTCGAACCAGCAACCTTCCGATTACAAGACGAACTCCCAACTCTTGAGCCACGATCGCCCCAAAATCATCAACACATCAACATGCACGCTCTCTTTCCTTGTAGTTCACTAGGTTTCTACTGTGAATAGCTTACTCTACTAAAGCTGGGAGACTTCTGTAATATAATTGTGCTGCAAGTGTTTTGTTTCCTTCTTTTTGTTTGGTGTTATCGTCACTAAAGCCAAAAACGTGTCTGAATAACAGGCACTGCTTTTTATTTGGCACAAGCTCCTCAAGTTGGGCAGTCAGTTAAGTACTCTGTTTTAAAGGGGACAGTACATACTGAGGGGAGTATTAACTAGGGGTGGGGGAAAAAATCAATATCGTGATATTTTGTTTGCTAATAATGTATCGATACAGGGACAGCAGAAATCGATATTTTGTTACAAAAAAGGTTTTTGTGCTCTGACTTCAGAGCATGTTGATCCTTTTTCTGAGCAAGAATCCTGACATTCCTTCACTGTCCAAATGTGTTTAACTTTTTTATGGCAGCAATAAACATGACAGTTTACTTATTTTAATTTAAGACATGTTTTATTTTAATTAAGTTTAAAACTTTTTGATTTAATGTAAAATTATATTTTGCTTTAATTTACTTTCAAATTCTTCAGTTGCTG